CTGACCAGCTCCGTCGTGCTGTAACCTACTATACTTAGTTGACCACCACTGACACCGCTCATCCTCTCACCTCGCACCGTGAATCTCTAACCATCGACCGCCTTCTATAACTGTGTGCCAGCGCCGTTTACTTGACGACTGCCGACGTTCGGCGGCCCGACTCGGATCGACGCGGTCAGCACCGTGCCGTGATCGCGATGTGCGTTCGGACGGACGGGACGCGCGATACGGTACGCGTGGGGCGTTGGAGTTATAGGCGGATAGGGTAACTATATATATATATATATAATATAGTATGTAGTATAATATAAGGGTTAGGGGTTATATATATATATATATATGAGTATAGTTAGGTATATATACCTATATATATATATATCATAGGGTTAGGGATATATATATAATTAGGGTAACGATATATATATATATATATATATATATATATATATATACCCTAACCCCTTCATATATTATATATATATATTACCCTTAACGCCTATATATTATATTATATATACCCCTAACCCTATATTATATATATATATATACCCTTACACCACGCTGTACGTCCCGTATGCTGTGTGTTAGGTACGGCGCTCCGTTAGGTATAGGTAGCGGTTAGGTCAGGGTATATATATATATAACCCAACCCTATATATATATATATACCCTAACCGAACTAATATTATAATATATTAGGCGTTTAGGGTTAATATATATATATAGCTTAGGGCTATACTATATTATCATACCCTTCACCCTAACCCCTACCCTAACCCTAAAAAAAAAAAAAAAAAAACCCCTACCCTAACCACGTACACGCGGTGCCGTGCAGGTACACGCACCGCGTGCGTGCATGTACACGCGTGCTGCGATGCACGCTACACCGCAGTGCGTGCACGGTACACGCATGCTGCGTCGTGCGCCATACAGCGCATGCGTGCGCTACTGCTACACGCCGCTGTCGTGCGCAATACACGGCGTGCGCTGCACGTACACGCGTGGCCGGTGGCACATAACGACGCCAACCGCCCCGTGCGTGCCACCATACACCGCGCTACCCGCCACATACACAACGTAGCGCGCCACGTTACATAGTATGCTCGCACTCATACACAGCACGCATGCGCCGTCATGTGCAATCTGTCGCAGCGGCAGATACACTCACGTTATGGTGCCACAGTGGACAAAAAATCAAGAATACATGACTACCATATGTAATGCCCGCCATAGAATCGACCAATGGAAGCGAGAATATGCCCGCACTATAATCGATATTAGCCCTGCATGATATGCGCCGCATAGTGAGAGTCGCGAGCCAATCAAATCAAAGGGACCACTTATGCTCCACCATAAATAACTTCTTCTCTCCCCGCTGTTGACCACTTCCGTGCCCGAAAATCAAAGGAATTATGTCGCTACCATAAATAACTTCCGTCCCCGTTTACACTTCCGTCCCCGCTCTTACAATTGCCATCAATGTATTTAAACTGGTTATCCGGCCTCACGCTCTGCTACAGCAATTTTACACGCTCTGCGAACGACATTCGCCGCGAACCAGTGCTAGCCACACAGCTGAAAATCTCAGCGGGCGCTCCCCCCCACAGCCATAGCCACCTAATTTGCAAAGCGCTAGCATACATGCCAGACATTGCTATCAAGCGAACCAGAAATGCGTCGAGACGCGTCAAAACGGGACGGATATTTAGCTGCGGACATAATTCTTGATTTTTTGGGACGGAAGTGGTCAAAACGGCGAAGCGGAAGTTATTTATGGGTGGAGCATAATTCCTTTGATTTGATGGCTCCGATTATAGCGCGGCATATTATGCTGATTATATCGGGCATTATTGTATCTGCCTCTCTTCCCATTGTCGCAATTATATGCGGGCAACTATAATATGTAGTCATGTATTCTTGGATTTTTGATCCACCTGCTGGCCCAACCATACACGTGCAGCCTATTGTACGCAGATCCGGCAGGACAGCCCGCCCGGTATGTACCACGCATGGCGCGCGTTGCACGTAAGGAGCCTCAGCCCCTGCACACCTTGCGACAAACACCCAATGCTCTCGTGGCGCAACACCGGCATCCTGACTCTGTGACTACGTGCACGAGTCTTTGCCGCCTGGCGTGCGGAACCTCGCTTTTATGCCACACGAGAGTCGTGTTAGCCTTCCTTGCCTGACCCGCAGAGTTGTTAGTAACATATCATCTGTGAGTTCTGTCTGTACGGAGGGGCGGGATGTGCCTCATCGTCGTCATCGTAGTGTATTGTTGTTGTTTGTTGTTTGTTGCTGCTGTTTCTTGTTGGCGGCGGCAAACGGACGAGAGGAGAAAACACGCGAGAAGAGAAGGATGTTGGGGATGCGGATGAGGATCAGCTGATGGGATTTAGAGACGTGTGCGAGCAAGATTATGGTTGGATTTACGGTTGCATAAACTCCTTCCTCGGCAGTTCGTGTTTTCTTCCTCTCGTAGAAGTTTTGGTACGCGGTCGTGTACTGGTTCCTTATACAATGTTACCATGATTGTTATACAAGGTATCACGTTCATTTGTTATACCAATGTTATCACGATTATTATACAAGTGTTAGCCACAATTCCTTAACACATGGCACCACCGATTTCTTGATTACAAGGATACGTTATACAATCAGACATGAATGTTTGCATGAATCTTTGGCTGTATGTCTAACTCCTTGATCTTGCAGTCTTGTAGTATTTGTACGTGCCCTAACTTGAGGGAGGCCAGAGAGATAGAGAGGGAGCAAGAGGAGGAGATGATAGAGAGAGAGGGAGAGATGAGGTGCGTACAATATTAGTATATATATATAATATAATATGATAATAGTCATATAATAAATAGATGATATATGAGATCAGTAAATATGAGATAGAGATATTAGGAATCATATACTGTGGAGCTTTGACGGGAGGCACAAAAAGACTGTGTGGTTTCGTCGTTTGAGGCCAGCGTGTTGTGGTGTCCGTGCACGCATTGCAGCGTTGGCGAGCCGCAGCGGCCGAAGGAGACGGGATCGGAGCAGAGAGATAGAGCACAGAGAGAGAGCATTACGAGAGAGACGGACGAAGAAGAAAGAGAGAGGACGAGAGACCGAGACGAGACGAGAGAGCTGGTGCAGGACAAGACGTGAGAAGCAGAGGAGAGGATGATTGGCATGCGTCGATCCATAAAGAGAATCCTGCAATTTTGAGAGAAAGGTGCCGGAGGGAGGAAGGTAAGAAAATTGGCGGAGGAATAAGGCAAAACGCGGATGACACGAGGCACATTTGGACAGACGAAACGAGAGCCAGTCGCAGAGATAGAGATTTAGAGAGAGAGAATGACGAGAGCGAGGAGTCGACGAGGGCGAGAGAGACGGAGAGAAGAACCGGAGAGAGAGAAAGAGTGCATGGCCTAGAAGCATCAGGAGCAATCAAAAGCCAACGATGCTGGAAACATATATACTTAGAAACTTGCCCGGGAGGGCAGAAACAGCGAGTAGGCTGATTATCGTCATGAGCAGAAATTAGAAAAAGAGAAAGCAAAGATGCAAGAACGATGACTGGTGAGACGAGGGCAGAGAGAAAGCAGAGAGAACGGAGAGGGAGATAGAGAATCGAGAAAGAAAGGAGGAACGAGAGAGGAGAAGACGAGAAGAGATATGGAAAACGACAGAAGAAAGATAATTCGAGCAAAGAAAGAAAGAGACAGCAGTTATTCTTCTTTACGCAATTCCTTTCCATGTCGGGGTCTAATAGAAGTTCAATCGGTCTTTCTGCGGTGTGTGTGTATGCTCGCTAGACTGCACTTTACCTTGTTGCAAACACTCGCTCTAAGCGCATGTCTGCAATTGACGAGCCATTTAAAAACCGCGACCA